ATAAATTATGCAAATGAGGTCCTGATTTGAATAAATTATGTTTAATGATGTTCACCTCAACTTAACTTTCAAATACCACAAGTATGAAATTCCAGGCAGTTATCCTTACATAATTATAAAACTTTCTCATTAATTATGCAAATTAAGTCATTATTAACATAATCAATATCTTCCTGTGTTTCTCTCGTTGTCAATTACCAATGTCACAAGCTTCATTTGTCCTATCATGGAATGCAGCTAATTTATAGAATTTTCCCATAAATTATGTAAATTACATCCATATTTGCATAATTGTCACATAATCATATTAAACATCACGTAAGCTACCTACATACCAAAAATCACGACGATCCGTCAAACGGTTCTTGAGTTATCCCCTTTTGAATAATTTCAAGAATATATCCCTGCAGTTCCAGAGCAAGCCGCTAGGGGGCCCAAACTCACGTCACTTCTTCCCCAGCATGAGAGCTACCTACCATCCAAATTTCGTCACCCCAGCATGTCTAGATCATGAGATATCAAAACCAGAAGTTCAGCTGCAGTACCATAACAAGCCGCTAGGGGGCCCAAAATCTAATCATTTTGAGGTCTCATCAAGACCTACCCACCTACCAAGTATTAAAATAATCCATCAAGGCCTTCTCAAGTTATCGTGTTTACAGACAGACACACACACACACACACACACACACATACACAAACGCCCCTGAAAACATAACCTTCTTGGCGAAGGTAAAAAATGCTTCATGCATAAGGAACTGCATGTACCTCTACCTACTACCAAAGTTACTTCTAACATTACAATTGTATCGAGCTTCAAGCTAAATGCTTCAACTAAGTGAAAATGATACAAAATGTGTTAGGAAATGGCAGCAAATGTCAATATCAGACAGATTTCCTCATCCAGAATGTTTTTGTTTCACTGCCGTGAAATTTCGTTGGATGCCTTTCAGACTCAGAGCATAAAGACTATCCATGTAAAGGGTCACTAGTTTTTCCAGCAGATATGGAAGCATAAACAAGAACATTAGACAATCAGCACGTTTCATATTGGGACACGCAGGGATCATACAATAGTACTGTACAAGCTTGCTACTCTGCCAGGGAGCACAACAACATGCGAAATGGTCGGACTGCTTTTCCATCCCCTAATATTAGTAATAATTAAGTCTACACTGGACTGCTTTTTCCACCAATCCTATTTATTTTTCCACCAATCTATTTAAAAAGCAATTATAGAACAGGACAGTCGTATACTTTAACTTCCTTCCTGAGGTGTTTTGAAGAGGTATTTTGAAGTTGAGCTATGGCTGCAGGGCTCGAAATTAACATTGTCCCAGTGTCAAATGACACTAAATTTTCAGCTTAGGACAATTCAAATTACGTTTCGGGACAATTTTGGGGCAATTGGAAAATTGTAAGACCCGCCAATATCCACGTCATTTGGGAGCGCGATCCATCCATCCTGCTGCAGACTGCTGGCAGCCTATAAATATATAATACTCTGACAAACATTTAAATTTGACCAATCAGGGATTCCAAATATCAGGGACGGTTCCATGCCCATGATATTATCATGTACATGTATTTCCCTACATTTACTAATAAAGTGGACTTCAAGTTGTACAAATTCAGTTGTTGTTTTCTTATTTTTGTCATCAACTTATTTCCTGAAAAGCAGGCTGGGACAGTCCATCTTCAGTTCGGGACAATTGAAATCTATGTTCGGGACAATTCTGGGACAATAGTGAAAAAAGTTAATTTCGAGGCCTGGGCTGCTAAAGACTTGAAGCCTGGAGTACATACATGATAAACAACAAAAACAAGTTGTCATGAGCTGACATCATGTTCTAGCCCCAGGCAGTGCATTTTCTACATTCTAGCACACAATTGTCACACACACAATACACAAAGACTTTATGCAGAAAACCTACCATCATAGACGGTCACAATCATGCATGATCGAACAGGTGGCTTTTAAAATTTTTTTGCAGTTCCAGAACAAGCTGCTAGGGGGCCTAAACTAAGGTCTTAAGACTCTTTTACCTAAGCACAAGAGCTATCTACCGTCCAAAATTTGTGACCCTAGCCTAGATCATGAGACACGAAAACTAGAATTTCAGCTGCAGTACCATAACAAGCCACCTCCAAGGTTTCATGATACTAGTAACCCGTCCAAAGCTTCTTGAGTTTATATTGTGCTCAACTACACACATACATAACGTTACATGATATATACATACATAAAAACACTACCGAAAAGATATCCTTCTTGGTAAAGGTACTACTACTGTGTAAACTTTCAGTTGGTGATGTTTCCAAAATAGTCTGATTTACATGACCTGTTGAATATTTTGCTGCAGGGTGGAATATGTATGCGGGCTGAATCTAGTTGCTGGGTCAATGAATTTTATTTAGTCAAAGATCTAGTATTCCATCTCGCAATGTTTTTCTTTTGTTCCAAAGCAATATGAGCTGCCGAATTATGATGAGGCTTACTCATCATGTTTCACACAAAACTGCACAAAACACTTCCTTGTCGTATACTGTTTCCTGTCGCCATGTGCGACTTTTTCACACCCACCCCGCCCGTTACTACAACGAACGGTCCCCCTATCCTAAGCAAGGACATGCTGTCCCAAATACTACAGTAACAGACTTGTCTGAGCTCGAACCACCAACACATGCTAGTTCACACAGTGCAATCGATACATATATGTGCTCTAGTAGCACCAGAAATTCGTTGAAAATATTTTAAAAACTGATCCCCATGATGATAACGTTTTAGAGTTCTGGAATCCGTCAAAGCTCGACACTTCTTCATTTCCGGGTGCCGCCACAGCCAGCCTGGCCGGGCGGGGTGAGCACTTCTCCCGGCCAGAAATCACCGGACAGCCCGGCGATTTTGAGCCCCGAACGACCACTTGCACACGACATCCCCACACACCTTACTATGTGTACAGTTAACGGAAGGATGCACATTCACATACACAATGCAGGGTTGTGAAAAAAAGTGTGCAGGGCGTCTGAAATTTAGAATGTTTTGGCACTTGAACAAAATACTTTCACTCTTTAGTCTTACTTACTTGCATGCACAACACAGGCGACCGCGACCAGCAAAATTGCCGCCTGCAAAACTCCCGCTCCTCCCCTCATCTTCTCTTGTCTTGGCAAGGCTCTAGACTAGCCTGTCCCTCCGACGTCTTGGCTAAAACTGAACCGTAGAACTTCTGCTTCCTTGAGTTGCTGTGTCAGATCACAAGGCTTGAGTCACCGAAGCAACCTCGCTTCGGGGAACTGTGGGCGGACCGCTTCACCGCCTTGCGCTTCCGCCGGGCCCAACTTAGTTTGCTACAGGAAGAAGCTAGTCCCTGCAACCTGTCGCTTGTCATGTGTCAATCAAACTTACAATGACGTTGCAGTCGTAGAAATGAGGTATGGACAAACTACGAGGAAGAAAAAAGCTCAAATTTCTTTTAGTTGACCCTTTTTAAAGTAATGACAGCTTTTACGTTACGATACGAATTTCCGAGTGACAGTTGGCCATAGCCTCCACCAGAGGGAAGTTTGAATGACAGGATTCGGCCATTCTCCCGAGGCAGAGGCAAAAATAGGGTCTGACTGATCAGGGGAGTAATTGTCCATTGTGGTTTCATTTCCCCCTCGGAAAACGGTAGCCTCCATAGTG